CAACTGTGAGAACTATTTTAACCTTATTTTCGTTTGATGTGTTCTTTCAAGTCTTTCTTTGTATTACACGAAACCTCTTTAGGCTATGTAATGGCACAATGTCTAGAGTTTGAGGAAGTCGGTAGACAGTTAAAAGACGCAGACGCAATAAGCGATCTGGCCAAGTTTGGAAAAATAGTGAAAGAAAGTTCATACTTGCCATTTACTAGTTCTGCGGATGCGCTAGAGAACGCTAGCAACCTTGCCGAAGGTAAGCATTTGAACAATAGAGTGTGAAATGCGTGGTTTACCTAGATCGTTAGTAAGTCACAATAAGTATATGTCATTGATCCGAGGTGAGATCTCAGAATAAGACGCTTAAAACGTTTGATCACACAATTTAACTTCTCAAACCGATCGTTCGTATCCAATTCACGTATCCGCCAAATCATAACTACGCAGGCAAGATTAGTTCAAGGTTGCGTCACTTTTTGGAAGAATCTCTACCGGCATCCAAGAAAAGTTTTGTTCTTGGCGTGCAGGACAAAAGTCTTGCATCTTCTATCACTGCCGAACTCGAGTACGCATGCGATACTAGCGAACGCGTTTTGGAATTAGGTCGTGGTATAAGAACGCATGCTGAAAAGTTGTTGTCGGGATACCTGAAAAAAGGAGATATACAGAGAGGACAGTTGGGTTTAGGGCACAACTATTCAAAAAGTAAAGTCAAATTCAGCGCGGAGAGATCAGACACAATGGCCATGCAGGCAATTAATCTGTTGGATATGCTGGACAAGGATATTAATACATTTACTATGCGGGTTAGGTAAGCGGATGTATTGACTTTGGACAAATAGAAGTGAGGCGAAAGTGTTTGGTCAAGACGTGACTTCCTGTAGAAACCGTTCATTTACCCTAGAATGGTTTCAACGATTTTTGCATATTCTTTTCTCACTTCTTACTTCAATGTAAAATGTAGGGAATGGTACTCGTGGCATTTTCCCGAACTTGCAAAAATAATCGGCGATAATGCACAGTACTCTCAACTAGTTCCTGTTATCCGAGACAAAAACAGCCTTTCTGAATCGTCTCTTGATTCGCTGACGCAAGTAACGGGCGATGAGAAAAAATCCCAAGAAATTATTGAAGCTGCTCACACTTCCATGGGTTCTGCCATATCCGAGTTGGATATGATTGATATCACTCAGTTTGCAAATAGAGTCGTCGAATTGATAAAGTTCAGAAAAAAATTACACGACTACCTGGTGAACAAGATGGAAAACGTTGCGCCTAATTTGGCGGCATTGTTGGGAGAAGTTGTGTCGGCTAGGTTGATTTCGCACGCTGGTGGTCTGAGAAATTTGTCAAAATATCCGGCGTCGACTCTGCAAATACTCGGAGCCGAGAAGGCTCTGTTCAGGTGAGTTGTGAGAACCGTGTGATGGAAGCGAGAGACGTGTTCATACAAAAATTAGAGTTTGGAGAGAGAAATTTGACAGGCTGATGTTGATGCATTATACTGCTGATGCTAACGTATCTGCTTACAATACTCATCTTTTCGTTAGGGCTCTTAAAACAAAGAGCGCAACGCCAAAATTTGGTCTTTTTTACCATTCCACCTTTATAGGCAGTGCTGGGTTTAAGTCCAAGGGCAAAATTTCGCGATTTTTAGCCAACAAATGCTCAATAGCATCACGGATCGATTGCTTTTCGGGTGAGTTGGAACACAAATCAGTTGCTGTTGTTTGCCAATTATTTTGGGAGCGGGAGAGCTACCATTAACAGCTTGTTTATTGTTGTCCCCATGCTAAATTAGACTTGCCGACGTCAAAATTTGGTGAGGCGTTGAAGAAACAAGTTGAAGATCGTTTAACACTACTTGACCATGAGAGGAACGAAAATAATATGGATTTAGATCATCGCCATTGAAAAACTATGAAGTTATGAGGCAGGTTATTAGTGAAATACAGCAGGAGACCCTACAAAAGACTGCTGAGGAAAGTGATCAAATGGCTATTGATGTCGTGGAACCAGTGAAAGAAGGAACGGAAGGTGAACGGGTTAAAGAAGGAACGAAAGGTAAATGGATGAAAGCCGCTTCCACATGTACGATTGTTATTGGGTTTCTGACCAATTGTTCCGGACCAATTGTTCCTTCACAGATAAAACCAAAAAACGCAAGCCGAAATCGTCAGTTGTAGAAAGTTCAAAGAAAAAGATGAAGATCGACAAAGAGCCAGTCGAAGAAACCGTAAAAGAAAGCTCAAAGAAAAATGCAAAAAAGGAACTTCATGATAACAAAAGCGCGGAACAGAAAGATAGCGTTAAGAAAGATAAAGGAAGTAAGACGAAAGATAGATAAGAAGACTAGATCGGGAAAAAGGAGAAAGATAAGGAGAGTAGGGTGAAAGACAAGGGGAGTAAGACGGCAGATAAAGAGAGTAAGGTGAAAGATAAGGGGATCAAGCCAGAGGGTAGATATAAGGAGTAAAACGAAAGATAAGGAGATCAAGACAGAGGGTAAGCCGAAAGATAAAGAGAGTAAGGCGAAGAATAAGGAGACCAAGACAGAGGGTAAATCGAAAGATAAGGGACTAAGACGAAAGATAAAGACAGAAGGTAAATCGAAAGATGAAAAGAGCAAGACAGAGGGTAAGGTGAAAGATAAAAGGGAGCAAGACGAAAGATAGAGCGAGTAAAAAAAAGGCAAAGAGAAGGTGTAAGAAAAGAATAGCATATGCCGTAAAAACGAAAATTCCTTTTTGATCTTCATTAAAGATCAGACCTATTTTGTATATCAAAATTCATGTTTCGGAACAATTTCGTAATTTGGTAATTATTATATCGACAACTCAAAAAAGAATGCAAGGTTATAATAAAAGGCGTGATTGTTAAAAATTTCATTACTGTACAGTATATCAATAAAGAACAAAAGTTAATGAAAGTGTTCCTAATAATTACAATTCCAACAATCTTTATCTGGAAAACACATGCGACTATAATGGGTATTGCTCCAACAATCGCTATCTCGTGTCTGTGCACCGAACAATTTATCACCGGCATACGTACATAAAATTACAGGTGTTAAAAGCTAATACTTGGTGTTCCCACCTTTAGCCTTAATAACAGTCATAATTAAATTTGCAACATTATTATTCCATTCCTCTTGAATTGCAGTTATTAAATCCTGCTTTGTCTGAGGCAGAGGTTTTCATTTAAGTACCTGACGGTCTAGATGGTTCCAACGATTTTCCATTGGACTTTGCGCGACCCAATCTAAAGTTGGAATACCATGAGTTGACATCCACCAAGTGCTATACGAAGATGTATGGCATGGTAAAGTGAGGCTTTTTCTTTGCACTATACTTTTAGCAGGAGAATAGAAGTTATTATGCACGCACGATATTAAAAAAAAATATTAGTCGATTCACGTGACAAAAAGTCCGGTGATAGCAGAAATTAGAAATTACCACGATAACAGCACTGCGCTGACACTGCATCACATTTTACTTTGTTCCATCTTACTATTATGGAACTCATTCGATTTCAAGAACAGCTTTTCGAGATGTTGTTTAGACCAGATAAGTCAAAGATTCCCCGTCGCAAGATATCAAGACTTGAACTATTAGATGGAAAATCTGACTTTTTTATCAGGGAATAAGTTAATCTCTTTATGTAAATTGACTTTAACTAAATAAATAAAACGAATACCAAAGCTGTTTGGTAAAATTTACAACATTCTTGCCAATAAATGTAAACCTCTTTAAGTTTACAAGCACTTAACAATAAATTATATATATATTTGGATTATATAGAGGGACGACTGTAATTGTACTACAAGTTAAAATTACTAACTCTATCTGTCAGTGTAAAATTTTTAGCTAAACTATTAACATCTAATTTAATCAATAATGTTTTTCATGGCCATGTTGGTTGTTCCCACTATCCCCCACATTTAATAAGTTGTCTCTTACAGTGTTTTCTTCAAAAGTCTTATTTTGCTGTTTTATAATTGTAGTTCTTCCTTGTAACACCTGTGCCGTATACGAACTACTTATTCTACAACAAGTGGGTGGAGCACTTACAAACCAATTAGAATATGTCAGTATTAACTTATCCAAAATTGCTGGTATTCCTGAATCTTTATGATTAATATCAATGTTTGATAAAAATTTTGTGTTGTCAAGTAAAGGAAGTGAAGAATGAATACGCTCTAAAGTATAAAAGTTGAGATGGCTTTTAAGTTCGTTTGCAGCTCTATGATGACCTTTGGTAAGTTTATGAAAAGTTCCCGAATGAATGGGACCGCCGTCAATCGGATAGTCGGTAGCGACGTAAACGTTAGTAATACCCGTCTTGTTCTTTATATGATCAATATAGTCTACAAGATTCTGACTACATTTAAGCAGCTTGTCTGGATCCGCCGTCTCCATCCGCCAATGGACTGCAATGTAAGGATAAAGCAAATTTGCGGCTGCTTTTGCATGCTTGATCAAGTATTCGGCATACGTAAGCGAAGCAGGTTGATATTTCAGGCGTGAATAATTGAACTCGTATGCGGTATAGTTCATGAGGATGACGTCTGATTGAACGGATTGAAGAGCATCGATGACAAATTGGTCCCCGGTTTTCCTTGTAATATGCAAGTCGAGTGTTGCGTTGGTCTCATATTCTAGGTGATCGAATGGTAACAAACATCCCTTCTTTCTATATCGCTTAAGATCGAGTTGGTTGGATCCAATATACTCTTTGTCCACCGCCCTGCCTAATTCGACAATTTTTGTTGTAAACTTTTTAGCCTTGATTGCCTTCATCTCTTGGTTCCACTGCAAAAAATAATCTTGCGTGATGAATGTAGTGTTCGGAGCAGATTGCCGCATTGATTCGACAGAATAGTAATAATCAAACGTAAAAGACTTGCATGAACAAAGTCTTGCATCTCCAACATTTGGTAAAACTAATACTCGATTGGTTTGCTGTGCCATGATAATCAAACCTGGGACTTGCAGTCTTGCTCTCGATTCTTGCTCTCGTATACGGAACGGGAACAAAAATTTGCAAACAGAAGAACCGCAGTATTTACGATTTATCTGTTCTTCTGTTGCAACCAAGTCATAAGCGGTGGAGGCCGGTTGTGCGTCGTTTGATTTCTC